GCGTTTATAGTGTCATCCCCAAGAATGAAATATAATCTGAACAAAGATGCGTGAAATATGAGTTTTAATTGAGGATTCCGTGTCGACGAGAGTGTCCATGGTCTAAAACAAAACAAAAAAAAAAGAAAAAAAATCGAGATGGGCTTATTGCCAGAGTGTGTCGATCAATCATTCCACGATTCGAAATCGATGCATGAGCGTGTTTCAGAAATAAAAGTTTGAAGTTTTCTTTCCTGCTACGTTATGAACTCGTTTGCAAATTAACAACTCAGTCGCGTTGTGACGGTGAACATAACTTCACGGCTCTCTGTTCTTTTGTGAGACACTTGTTTTGGTAACGCTGACACACTTCTAAGTATAACGCCGCATAAAAATAAATGCGCCCTTTTTTTTTTGCTTAAAATGTACTATATGAGTGCCCCAACCAAACACTCGATTTAAAAAAAAAAAATTGATTCTTCCAGATTGTATGACCCTTTTTGCGACTTTGCAGCCGGAATCTTCATTAGCAATGAAATTTCTAACAAAAGAAATTACACAAAATTGTTTTTTGTTTTGTTTTGCACGGTTTTACAAACCTAAAAAAATCTAAACTTTTTTTTTTTTTTTTTGCAGCCCCTGTTTGCTTTTATTTTTTAGTTCGTAAAAGAGAAAAACGTAAACGACAGACATTAAAAAAAAAAAGAAAAACGAAAAAAACAAGCAATCCCCGCAGCGAGTTTGCTCCGTCTTTCGATCTTTCTGTCTGTGACAACCCTCGCCACCCTCGCCCTTTTGGAGACAGTTTAGTTTTGCTTGGTCTAACCAATAACTCGCTCGGTGGACGATTGATACTTGCAAATTTTGCTGTCATCCCCCCCCCCCCCCCCCCCCTTTTTTTCCTCGTCGTTCGATAGAAGGGTACGATGCCACCGTCTAGTTGAACGCCACCGAAGAAAGATTGAACAATAAAGAACGGGAATTGGCTCCAAACTTGTGGTTGCTCGGGCGGCCGTGGCAGTTTCCGACGCCGAACCCAGTAGTGTTCCGAAAGGCTCGCGTCTAGAAAAGCAGGTGCTCCGGTCATCAAATTGTCGTTGCAATGGCGCAGCTCTCGCTACTGTGGAACCCGCCACTGCGCTGTTGGCGCCCGCCGGCAACGTACTTAAATGCAGGAAAGCTTTCGTCTATGTTTGGCTCCGTTAAGTTTGCTTTTGTCGTATACTATAATGTTTCCATATGAAATGTTTTACGCAAGCAACTTGACGCTCTGGGACAGTGCTTCCCAAACTATACTAACCTGTGAACCATCAAATGTCGCGTCGCGACTCCCCTGAACTGTTTGCGTTGCCACAAGCGTTTTAAATTAAGTGCACAAACAGTAATACATAAAATTGATGCTGAAATATTAACCGACAGGTAATATATAGTTAGAGTGAATTAACTGGAATATAAACAGACATGTACGCAACGCGTTACTAGTAACGGGTTGCTTCCACCTAGTTGCTTTTTTCGGTAACGAATAGCGTATTTAGCTACTTTTTATAAAAGGAACGAGTAACCTACCTTGTTACTTTTAAAGGCCAAGTAATGAATAACCGTATTTCTGAACTTTTGAGCAGTAACGTGTCCAACACTATTTAAACAGCCTCGTTTGAATTCCAGCCTGAGTATACGTCTATTGTGACAAAGGCAGATGGACGACCCCCAAAACAATTAAACAGTATGACAGTACTGCAACGTTTATCGCTGAACATGTCACTCGAACTCTACAGCTGAGAATGTCCTTCGCCCAGAGAACACGATAAGGTTCGTTAGTTCAACCTTCTACAATCGCGTGTAGACCGAATGTAAACCTAGAGGTTGCTAACAAGGGAAGGCAGAGAACCCCTAGTCAACTTCGAACTTTAGGAGCAGATAGGACAGAAGAGAGAGGGCAAAATCAGATTCACCAGCTCTTGCTGAAGCACAACACTGCCGTTCCTTCGAGCGCGTCGGTAGAACGACTCTTCAGCGTCGCCGAAGATGTATTCTCAAGGAAGCGGGGAAACATAACTGATGAAAACTTCGAGACGTAGCTACTGCTTAAGTTCAACGACCACTAAAAAGAAAACAATATACCATGAAACAAAAGCAGTTGTGTATTTGGTCGTGAAAGTATCGAGAAAAGTAACTTGCTACTTTTGAAGTAAAGTAACTCGTTCCTTTTAAAAGTCAGTAACGAGTAACGTATTTAAGTCCTTCTTGAGCGAGTAACGAGTAATGGTATTGAGTTACTTCTTGGGGGCAACGTGTACATGCCTGAATATAAACAATCGCAACAACAACAAAAAAAAGAATTAAAATGAACTACTAACATTTCTTTTTTTTAGACTGCTGAGGGTGAAGAAGGTTTCGTTACCTTCTGAAGCCGCACGGTCTCGCTGCTAATACGTATGTCATACAAAGGGCTGCCCGCAGACATGTTCGAAAGCATACGTATGTACGAAGAAAACATGCTCCAGACGTGTCCGAGTCGTGTCTCCAGAAAATTCTGCTATCACCGTGCGGGGGAAATACCCCTCCCTTCTCTCCCCGGGATGCGCGTCACGTGGGAACAACGTCACGCGTTTGCGCGAAGCCGCGTTGACGTAGTCATCCCACAGTGATGGATACAGTAGCTCTTGTCTCGGGCTGCACAAACGCTCCCCCCGCCCTGGCGTGGGATCTTTTTGCAATTGGCGGCATCTTGTTCGCGTGTCTGGCACCTTTTACAGATTTTTGCTCGGCGAGACGGCGGCGGTGGCATCGGTTTCGCCCAACTTGTTGCGGTTTGCGCGGCTGCGCATGTCGTCCGAGGCACCCGAACAAGTATTCGGTATTCGTCGATGCCCTCATCGATCCGCTCGTCCTCATAGAACTAGCTTTAGATTCAACGTCCTTTTTGATGCGTCCATCCATCCAAGAAACGTCCTTCTTTTAGCTGGAAGCACTTTGTCGTCTTCCGCATCTAACAGCGCTGCTGCCATATTCGCGTTTTTGCCGATTCATGTATACGCCTCCATTGTTCTACTCTCGTCAGCACGCACCGAGCCCAGTTGTACGGAACGCGACCGCTACATGCGTCTGATAACATGGACATTCCTTTCGGCTCCCCGCCGTTCGTGTGAATGCTCGAGTCTGACGTCACACGGATCCCTCCCCGAAAAGCATCCCCCGTGTGAATACATCTTTAAAGGGCCGATGCAACGATTTTTGTACATAGATCAAATACAGCTTCGAACGGATCCCCGAAATTATTAACCGTGAAACACCCGTTCGTTTTTCACCACATGCAATCGAAGTAGCAGAGAGAAGTAAAGAAAAACGAGCAGCGTTCACTTCTGAACTCGCAGACAGAACAAGCGGCCATGTCGTCTAGAGCCGATTATATACCGCCAATGTTAATCCTAGCCACGCGCTGGGGTTGGCAAGGCACAGGACACGCACTGAGTTCCAGACATCGTTATGGTTCGGCTATTGTGGTCCTTGCAGCGATTGGACGCGGGCCACTACCCCAATGCTTCTCGAGTTATCAATTATCACGAGCCCTAATCGGGTGTCCACGCAATGCTCCGGTCCAATCTATGAGCCGCATTCAAATGTCGTCACTGGAGGATGCTGCGATCCCTCAGTTATGTCATCAAGTTTTTCGAAGGAGAGATCGAATGAAAACGCTCGCTTTTGTCTTTGAAATAACATCGCAACAAAAGAGTTTCTTGGCCAGTGGCGTTGCGTGCGAGTATCCTTGAGTCCCACTAGTGCCAGTAAGCTCGTGTAAAGTGAAATTCCAATTGAATATTTTTGCACTTCCCCTTTAAAGAAATCCGCACCGTCCGCTTTCCCGCAAACCACTTGTGAAAGCCAATCACCGTAATCTACGGAGCGAGCTGAGCCAATGAAGAGGCTGGAAATGTGTTTAGACCTGTACTTCTTTTTACATCAAGGAGCGTAGTAAAAAATTTCCAGCTCCTCGTGGAGAGCATAACTAATGCCTCCCCCCCCCCCCCCCCCCCCCCATCTTTATGTGGAGAATTAAGACGTGTGTAGGTGCATTTTAGATTAGATATCCGTTATCTTATCAAGACATAGAGGTCCTAACGCCCAAGAACATCGCTTATTCTTCCTCCGACAACCAAATCGCGTGAGCACTACTTCGCCCAGCGCAATGCGCAAAACTTCTTTTTTTTTTTTTCTGGTTCTTGACCTGAAAACGAGTATAAGAAAAGAGTCTGCGCCGTGGCACTGAGTACAGCAGAACATCATGCACGGAGTAACAGCAGAGATTTTTTTTTTTAATAGACCTAAACATGTTTTTACCCTCGACATTCGCCTTCCTTAGGTGGTGGCCAAACTGTGTTTTTTTTTTTGTTTTTTTTTTCCCCGGGAGAATGAGTGTTTCATATATATATATATATATTTTTTTTTTTTGAGCGTGGCCATTGACAGATTAAGAAACGCTGGACGTGGCAGATCCCCAGCATCTCATTATGTCGCTCTTCAGCCAATCAGATTATAGCATTCCTTGCCAACTTTTTGGGACATTCCGCAAAATAATTTTTTTTTTCAAGGAAATATGAATGATTCATACTATTCCCGTTTTATGAAACCCAGAAATTTACAGTCCTCCGAAGCTTTAAAATTTTTTCTCGAGAAAAAAAATTTAAAATGTAATTCTTAATATTTAATGCAAAGAAAAAAAAATGGTAGAGCCGTGGAATAAAAACTACGAGCGTCCAAAAAATTAGTTACTGCTTACTGATAATTTATGGCTCTCATTTCAAAATGTTCCTGGATTGCGATGTTTGTTGTTCAGTTGAAATTTCCGTTTTAGTGCATGCGGCGAGGCGCATGATGTCCAAGAAAGTTGGCGATGAGCCGATCAAAATGTTGTAGAACAAATCAAGAAGCACGAACATTATAAGCCCCCGTCCTTTCGTTCCTTAAACTGTCAGTGACCAAAACTATTAAAACAATCGATGTATTAAAGAGAAAGAGCTTACCCCATTCGAGCAGGGCCTCGATGGCGTTAGCCGACGCATTCTTGGCCGCTTCGTGGATCGGGTAGAAGCCGTTGTCGCAGGTGATCTTGGGCGAGGCCCCGAACTGGCTCAACTGAAACCACGCGGCCACAATCAGCATCCAAAATACAAATGCGCTCTTAAAAAAATAAAAAAATAAAAAGAACATACAAAAAAAAAATATACCGTCCGAGTCGCTTTCCTGCAGAACACGAAGGCAGTCAATCGCGGCGAGGAAAAGGACGCCAGCGATTGACAAACGTCAGCTTGAGATTCAAACCTCCCAAAAAGTGCAATACGTCCGCAGGCACAATGAGCGCGGCGTTTCACAATTGCTCATTGTACCCCTAACCGTCGCATTTTATTTTTCCAGATCTAGTTGTGTTTTCAAGTTCGATATTCGCTAGGATATTCTTTCTTTTTTTTTTTCTTTTTCGCCGTCTTTTATTGAGGTTTTTGCTCTGCCGGCAAGGGAACTTGGATACTTCTTCTTTTTTTTTTTTTTTTTAAGAGTGTGGTTACACAGTTTTATTTTTATATTTATTTATTTCTTTATTTTCGTTACAACTGGTATCGAGTAGCCGACACTGTGTTAACGGAGAAATTAAGTCTATCGATTTTCACCATATTGAAGTAAGAAATTCATCTTGTGGCTCCGCAGCAAATGACGTGCCGGCATTAGCCGATGAGAGATCCGAAGAGCGAATCACCGAGGGGCAAGAAACAAAAGCATAATTATCAACGCCCTAAGCTTTTTTCTTTTTCTGTACAGATATAGAAGTTTGAGATTACGTCAGTTTCAAAATGTAGGAACAATAATTTTGTGGGCTGCGTTTTTTTAATATTCTTAATGACGCGTATGGCCTCACTAATCATAGAGCAAAACGCAAAATACACCATATTGCTGGAGACACCTTATTAGCACCTCGGAAACTGACTCATTGTGTCGCTTCTGGCTTCCTGGTTCGTTCCTCCGCCATCTTATCAGGTACTACCGTAGCCAGATTGAATGCGGCTCGATCACAAAGTGCCCTCTGGGAACCTCGATCTGCGATTGACGTCACAGACTAGTACTTGTAACTATAATGGCGGTCACACGGACCAAACAAAAAGTGACGCAGTGGGGGCTTTGTCGTCTGCTCTTCTTTGATAAATATAAGCCAACGCGCTGTTTACATACGAGCCTGCAGGTTCGCCCAGGTGTGGACAGTGCGCGTGCACGGAGATCAGATGCGCGTGAGGTGAGCCGTCTGCGCATGCGCTGTGACGACATCGGAGCGGTGACTTTAGCACACGAAGCTTACATGTGTCGCGTCCCAACTCACTTGAGCCCACGTGACCTCCGGCCGCCACAGTGGCGCACCCCAGCCTGTGACGTCATTCCGCGAACCCGACTCCGAGCAATCGAAACCGAAACCAATCACGCGATAACAAAGTTTCATGGCGTCTTGGCGTATTTCAGGTTGTTTACCAGGATCAGTGATGCCACACAGATTATGAGGAGTTAAAGAAAAGAAGAAGAAGAATTAGGAAACCAAAGTTTGTTGTCTTTGTTACCTTATATTTCTCATAGGTTTAGAACGCGAGAGCGCACTCTAAAACAATATCTGGAGTGTCCACTTCCACTTGGGTGAGCCCATCGCTACTGTCTATGGAAGGAACTCGGCAAACAACGAGGTTGAAAATAGACTTAGACCTAACAGAATTGTTTACGTTGTTTCACTGGACATGACGCGTGCACGAAAAACGTCATGCGCCATGTAACGTAACGTCATGCCACAGCGCACTGATTTTTTTAGGTCTGAAAATGCTTTTACTTTCATTCGCCGAGCTTTTCCCGTAGACGACCGAGATTGGTTTCTTAGAGATACAGGAACGATGTATGACAAACATAAAACGCGACATGTGCGGATGACGCTCTTGGTTTTTATTGAACGTTTGTTGTCCCCCCCCCCCCCCCCCCCCCCCTCGGTTCTACCAGCGTTCTAAACCTTCGACGGGTGCTTTCCCCATCGCCGCGTGCAACGGGATAGTTTACGACATAGTACTTCGGAAGATTAAAATTTTTTTTGTTCGCCGTGGACGCTCTCCCTTCTAAGGGGCTGTTGTTTACACTGTGCTTGGAAGAACTTTGGGTAAGCCGAGCCTTCTGTCACGCGTGGGCAAACAATGCGATCTTTCGCGGGAGTTATGTACAACAACTAGTGTACTCTTCGTCGTGCACGGGTTACGGAAACCGCGAAGGGTTGTCGAGTTCGAACGCGGCTTTTGTGTTGGAAGCGGGGGGTTTGGAAACGTGAACTTCGACAATGGATCTCTCGTTGCGGGAACACCATGCCAGGCGCGACATAGCGTTCAAATGAACGGTGTTACGTGCAGAGGAGGTATTCACGTAGGGTCATCACCTCCAACTGAGGGTACAACGACTCATCGCGTCTGGACATCAACAGTTTTGACAAAATTAATTTGGCTAAAGCCCGCTTTGGGCACGCGCTGCATCCTAAAAACAACACTGGGGGGGGGGGGGGGGGGGGGTCCTTGTAAGGTTAGTGTTATTAAAATAAATGTAAAATACAAGAAGATAGTTTAGAAACGCAGGGCTTGGCGAGTCTCGAACATTCTATTGTGGCAATGTATAGTCAACCACGACGGGCATTCCAATGGAAACACTGAGGGACGAATGACTGATCACTTTTTTAGGCCACTCGACTTGTATGATTTTCTGAAAGAAAAGCATTTCTAATTAGATACGTTTCTCAATATGAATACTAGGTCAATAAAAAAACAAGCAAGATGAGTTGCATAATCTGTTTCATCAATTCAGGCCACACTTAAGTGTTATCATGCTTTACGAGACATGGTATGCAAGTAGTGCAGATGATTTTATTTTGCCCGACTACAATCATATCAGCGTTGATAGAGCTAGAAGAAGAGGCGGTGATGTCGCTATGTTACTGAAGAATTATATGAGGTACGAAATATTAGAGCAGTTTTCAATAATCACCGAATGGTATGAAATTTTGACTGTTCTTGTTAATGACACTATATTTTCTGTAGTTTATCGTCTCCCAAGTGCTGCATTTGCGCCTTTCATTCAATGTTTTGAAGAGCTCTGTGGGCTTGTAAATGATCATAACTACAGATCTTACATAGCTGACATTAATATTGATATGTTTATTGATAGTAACTTGCAATTTGCGTTTGCAACTTAATTTCAATATATTGGCTTTTCTAATGTCATTAAAAACCCTACAAGAGTAACTAGTGCAGGAGCTTCTTGACTGCTTTATTACAAACTACGAGCTTTTCGTACTCTCTCCCGGCGTCATTTCATCAGATATCAATGATCACCTTCCAATTTTCATATCGGTAGAAAAACATAACTTTAGACCACGTTGCATTAGCTCGACAATTACATACCAACCCATTACGCAACACCAGTTAGATGCTTTCCGCTATGAAATTGAGCATACAAATTGGTTGGTTATTTTTGAAGTCGATCGGTAGATGATGCTTATAATTCTTTTTTGGAGATATATATTCGAATATATGGCAAATATTTTCGATTTAAAGCCGTAAAACCCCCCAAAAACTTTCGCAAACCTTGGGTTACACCAAAACTTCTCACTATGATTCGCACAATAAACAAATTATATGGTCAGTTTTTGAATCTAGGGAAAATTCGAAACTTGAGGTTTTTAAGCAATATAGAAACAAACTAAAAAGCATGCTGCGACAAGCGAAGAAAAAATATTACATTTATATGTTTAATATGGATGATATACGACAAAAAGACGTGTTGTGGCAAAGACTCAAAACATGGCTTACCTACAAGCCATAGGTTTTTATGCCAGTTGAAATTAACATAAATGGTTGTATAATGTCGGGGACAGACATGGCGAATGCTTTTAATAGCTGTTTTGTAAATCATACCACATCTCTTGTTTCCACTACTACTGTAAATAATGCACTTCAGTGCATGCCTTTACCCTTGCCTAATTCTATATTTCTTTTTCCCACTGAGGTATCTAAATTTTATAATATATTTATGAGCCTAAGGAATAGTAGAACTATTTGATGCATACAATATTCAAATAAAACCAGCAAAGTATGTTATAGATATCTTAGCATACCTAACTTATATATTCAATCTTGCACTTGAGTCCGGTGAGTTTCCTATCAAAGTTCAGATTGCCAAAGATAATGTGTAACATATAGGTTGTGATTTAAATAATATTAACAATTTTAGACCAATTTCTATATTTCCAGTATTTTCTTAGCCACTCGAAAAACTAGTTTCAAATAGAATTGTCTGCCATCTTGGGAAATACCTTGTAATTACAAATTCTCAATTTGGTTTCCGTAGAAGTTATTCCACTGAGTTAGCATTATTAAAACAAAACGAAATAATATTAAGGGCACCTACTAGATAATCACCTATTAACAATCGGTATATATTTAAATTTCTCTAAAGCTTTTCACACAATAAATCGCGACGTCCTGATAGCAAAATTAGAATAATATGGCATTTGTGGAAAACCTTTAAGTTTGTTACAATCTTAGTTGCAGAATCGTACCCAGTTCTTGTCTATATTAAACTTTAAACCAGATATTTAAAAAAATAACAAATGGTGTGCCCCAAGGCAACATTTTAGGCCCCTACTTTTTATTCTTTATATTAACGATATTGTAAATGTAAATCGTGATCTTAAAGTTGAGCTTATTATATACGCTGATGACACTAGCATCTTCTTTTCCGATAAAGATATCCGTACTCTATAAATGTTATAATGTGCTTGATCGTGTTCAAAAATCGACAAAAGATAATCACCTCAAGCTTAATTTGCAAAAAACCAAAGTCATTTTACTTAAAAGTCGACATGCTCTAGTTATGATCCCAAATCCACTGGTTTTGAACAATGAAAAGTTGGATTTGTCGACACTGTTAAGACTTTGGGCGTTTGGTTTACAAATAGGAAGGTTTGGGATAAACATTTTGATTATTTTTCGTCTAAACTGTCGAAAACAGTGGGGTTGCTAACAAAGTTTAAATCGTTGTTAACTCGTTGTGTCAAGCTCCAACTTTACAATGTT